ACTGGTTTCGTTGGCTGCTACACCAGGGACGTCTTAAGACTCTTTGAGGCCCTGGGCCCCTATGCAAAAGTAGGCCCTACCACAAATCTTTGAAAGTAGACAGTATAAAGCATGCATTGTCAAATACTTGTTCAAACAGTAATTTGAAACAAATAAATGTGCGCGACTAACAATTTCAAAAACTTAGGCACAAACCGTGTTGACCGATGGCCGCATTTCGACTAAGTGAGTTGAATGATTGTTCATGGTATTAAGCCGAAGCCTAGACATGGACAATGGTCATTACATAATAATACAGACTTGTCACTTTTGCCAGTTGACATGCAGTATGAAATTCCCTATTTTTTTGGAGAATATATGCGGGAATAATATTCGACCATTAAAATTATGCGGATCATTATTTACTAAGACAGAGTCGAGAACGAAACAAGGCCCCATCGAGGGCGAGGCCCTGGGCCCAGTTGGCCCATGCCTTAAGACGTCCCTGTGCCACATAACTGGTTATTGTGTTAGCATGAAATGAATCCCAGTGTACTGCAATCTTGTAATGCTTATACAATGGTTGACGAAGTAAGAATTGTAGCCAAGCTCTTACCTTTGACTTCCTGAAACTCCACTCAGATTCGTAGATCTATGTATCATGTTCTTCTTTATGTTAACAATGAAGCCCTGATCATCGTCCAATTGACGCGGTAGCTGCTGCACCATTGTGTCCAAATCCAGGTGTACATTAGCGGGCAGCTATAGTATCATCGGATACAGGACTTGTCCGATGACTCCATAGCTGCCGTCTTGGTCCATAGACGTGCACTAATTGGATCTAATACGGGCAACCCCCATGTTGCCCCCATGTGACAACGTGGGATCTTTGTCCGAGTCCAGTGAGTTCTTAAACGTATCGTATAGTTTAAAGTCAGCCACTAGCTCTTCAGGGAAAGTATTATTAAGCAGCGGTAAGTGTTTTTCTTTTATTGGCTTCAATATGTGCAGAAACCATAAACGATCACACACATCACACTTATGTCCGAATGGATTATTGACAAACGTCGCAGTGAAACGTGTACTAGCTGCTTCCCCACGTGTCTTCAAAAACGACGATCGTGCACAGTTCGGTGTCGATATAGAAGCGATTTCATCATCCACTTACTTAATTTCAACTGACCCAGTTGCAGATGTAGTGGCACCGTCGTTGATCCACAAGGCCGCATTCATTCTTTTGAGTTCCCGGCACTGCTTGACTCGGTCATATGGTGCTTTATTGGTACCATTCGATTTTTCTTGAGGAGCCCTTTTTAACCGAATACAATCTCTGTATTTGGCTTTTTGACAAGCCGACATTATATATATTTTTATAATACTTTCTTTATTTTAATACCTTATTAAATTCACCGTCACTATTTCACGCTAATGTTTTACATACAGTCGATAGATTTTGATGAAAGCTGACGATTGAAACTAAAACAAATGTCATAGCTTCTCCGAGTCAAAAGTTATACTAAATGAAAAACTCAATAGGCAGCAAAATGATCTCAAAATGTCGGCGCTTCCTCCTCCGCCGCGTGCAATACGTCATAGTCCTTACTTAGCGAGATTAGTTCTTTGGTTCTTTAGCTATACAGTGGTGTAATTGAGTTTTGGATGGATATGATAGATATGTAGCTGTGCAACACCAAACTGTATCCCCGATTTCGTTATCTCTCTCTCTCGCGCGCGCGTTCGGTTTTTTTTTTAAGTTATACTTCTTTTGGGGCGTTAGAGCAGTGCTTCTCAAACTTTCAATACTGGCGCCCCCCTTTTCAATCACAATTTTTATCGCGCCCCTCTTATACATTAATAAATTACTGAATGCAATAATAATGCACTTTTTGACGCTAAAGCTACAATACACGATCTTAATTATAAACCGTACAAATTAATAACATTATTAAATTTTGTATATGTTATACTTTTAAGCAAAAAAAATTAAGTAATAGGATAATTATTATGTTATTTTTCCTTTCTCTAATTTTTAAATTGGAACATATTGCAAAATGCTGTGGCTGCTTAGAAGACAAAATATAGATATCAGCTAAATATAGAAAAAGAACTCAGAGGGTCAATTTCTAAAAACCTTTGAAAAACTTTGCTGTGCAAGACAAGCCCATGGAAGTCGCTAATACTTATTAAACTTGTTCTTAATTCAGCATTAAAAAGATAAGTATTAAATTTTTTATATATGTTAATCTTAAGTAATATATATTTTAAGTAAATTACTTTTAAGTAAAAGGTTAATTATGTTATTTTTTTCTAATTTTTAAATTGAAACCGATTGAGAAATAATATTTAATTAAAGATTTATTTCCTTCAAGATCCATTTCTAAAAGTACAAATGTCATTAAAAAATAGCCTAATCTATGTTGCTCTTTATCATATCCATTGCATCTGGCATTCTCGCGAACGTTCATGTGAGTCTAGGCAACCTAACAGACATGTAAAACATGTAAAAATGCTGTACTTCGTACAATTCTAGTCAGTCTTGGCTGAATCGATTAGCTACCGAATCTCTCTTGAATGTACATTTCATAATTCACGCTTTAATTGTAATTCACGGTATTAAGTATTTACGGCAGTGGATTATAACAAAATCATAGATATATTTTTAAATCACAGCGAGCATTCGACGATAATAAAGCATCAACAAGTACATAGACGAGGGCAAATTGATAGTAAGTTACGAATGGGTTAGGAATCCATTTCAAAATACTTCAGAAGGGCTCTCAACTGCCGAAAAAGAGATCTTCATAGATTTCATATCCAATGACGAAATTAAAGGGCAATTTTGTAATAAATCACTCTTTGAATTCTGGATAGAGGTGGGTACTCAATTTTCTGCACTGAAAACAAAAGCATTTCGTATACTATTACCATTTTTAACATCATACCTTTGTGAATCCGGATTTTCTGCGATGGCTACTTTGAAGACAAAATATAGATCTGAGCTAAATAGCAAAAAATAACTCTGAGTGTCAATTTCTAATTTTTAGCCTTCCTTTGAAAAACTTTGCTCTGCAAGACAAGCCCATGGAAGTCACTGATAATTATTAAACTTGTTCTTATACTGGCTGAAGTACCCACTCTTATATATAACACGAGTTTATTTTTTAAAAAAATGATAATATATTATTCTTGATATAATAGCTTAATTGTAAGGAGAGTAAAACCAAGTGCATGCAATGTATACAAAAATGTAAAATGATATATTGAAATGAATACTCATATTATAAACGGTTTTGAATGAACTGTAATTTTAAGCCTCGCAGAATGTTAAGTAATAAAAAAAGAATATAAAATTCTAATGAATAACAATTGTGTTATTTTTTAATATTTAAAGCGAGAAAGCCCGGGACCAGGTGTGCACTCGATACTAACGTTAATGGTCGCGAGGGGGGGGGAAGCACCCCAATTCTTTTTTTTTTATAATTATTTTCAAAATATACAAGATAAAAATCACAATTTCAGTGAATAATTTAACTAAGAGAAAATATACTTACCTATTTCAAGGATTTTTCTATTTGTCTTTCATAATTTGAGAAAATATCCAATAAAACTGAACTAAATTGTTCCAAATGTGCGTGACCTTAATAAAGGACACAAATCACAGACACTTTTTGCTAACATTACAGGTAAGTTATTTGCAAGCAAAACTGTCACATTTTGTTCACGTTTTTGTAATTTTAATGTCCTTTGATGATCGACAAATATCCTGTTGAACTTTTTCTTGCTTGTGTCTTTTTGATAAGGTGAAGTGCATTTTGCGGTACACTTATGGCTTCATATTTTCTTGATAAAGTTCTTAATGTAGCTATTGAAAATTTTTCTTTCGTTTCATGTTTATTGCTTTTCTCAAATTTACTTTCGCTAACATGATTAATATGCATTATTTCAGCAAATGTTTCCCTTGTTTGATCAACTTCAATTTCCTTTCAGAGAGATCACAGATGCCCAATTCTTTTTTTTATATTCTGATCATTTACATTTATAAACCAAAATCAGTCGTACAACATCACAATTAAAACCACTAAGTTATTCATAGGGAAAAATGCAGCATGTTCAAGAAAATATTTTTGAAAAATAGTGGTCGTGCCGGGTATTCGGTCTAAACAAGTACCTTAAAATTCTAAAAAAACGTTTGCCACTCTCAAAAAAGGAGATATGTTATCAATTCATTTTAGCTCCTATTTAGACTGTCATATTAGAGGATTCTCTGTCAAGGTCATTGGTAACAAATAAACAGTTTCCCCACACACACACAGAATTAACGATTTTGTATTATATGTTTCAGTATACTCATAAAAATAAATCTTGGTCAATTAATCCTTCAAAGTGCTCAATATGCTTATCCATGTATCATAAAACTCTTTCACATTGTGAAAAAAAACGCAAACAGAATTATATAATTTACAACTTCCCTAAAAAAGAGATGCAGGTAACCATACCAGTAAGTTTGAAAGCCAGCAAAAGTAATATTTTAGATTAAAAGAAACGTAATAAAAAAATCTCTCATCGTAGGATTACAGTAAAGCAAACAAAATTTTTTTTTTATTTAGTTATAGGATCAAAGATAGCTAATGAGCGTTCAAAGTAGAATCTTTTATTTTTGATGACCTTTTTTCACCAGAAATAAATCATATCAATGTAAATCTGTATTTTTTATTATATCAGAAAGTATTTTTTTTCATTCCAGTAAATTAATTTTTTTTAACCTTTTATTTTCGATATGCTCGCGCCCCCCTTGAAGGGTTATCGCGCCCCCCCAGGGGGGCGCGCCCACAGTTTGAGAAACACTGCGTTAGAGAAATAGTATGAGGGTGAATTTTTACGAAGCTCGCGCACACCGTCATGGATGTGACGCAGAACCGTAACGGATGTGAAAATGCTTTGTCTAGAAATATACAGAACGGAACAGATCATTCCAGCCTTCAAAATTCTCAAAAAAATATTTCTCTTCACTTCCTTGAAGAAGAAGACACCCGGGTTTTGAACCGGAGACATCTCGATCTGCAGTCGAATGCTCTACCACTAAGCTATACCCCCGCGTCAGCTAAACTTTGCTTTGCGTTCCTTAGGGACGGATATGAAAATGCTTTGTCTTGAAATATAAAAGGATCGGGACAGATCATTCCCGCCTTGGATATTCTCAAAAAAAAAAAAGAATATTTCTCTTCACTTCCCGGAAGAAGAGGACACCCAGGTTTGAACCGGGGACCTCTCGATCTGCAGTCAAATGGTCTACCACTAAGCTATACCCCTGCGTCAGCTAACCTTTGCTTTACGTTCCGTAGGAACGGATACGAAAATACTTTGTCTAGAAATATATAGAACGGGACAGATCATTGCCGCCTTCGAAATTCTCAAAAAAATATTTCTCTTCACTTCCCTGAAGACGGGGGTACTCGGGTTTGTACCGGGGACCTATGGATGTGCAGTCAAATGCTTTACCACTGAGCTATACCCCTGTGTCAGCTGACGTTTGCTTTGCGTTCCGTAGGAACGGATACGAAAATGCTTTGATTAGAAATATTTAGAACGGAACAAATCATTCCTGCCTTCAAATTTCAAAAAAAAAAAAATTCCTTCCTGAAAAGGACCCCCGTGTTTAACGAGGACCTCTGATCGGGGGCAGCCCCCTGGAATTTTAAAAAAAAAACCAAAAAAAATGAGCTATAACGTTTTTCAAAATTTTTGATCCAAAGGAAAATAGAAAATTAAAAAAAACTCATTTTTTCAAAAAACATTTTTGGGAAAACGGAAGAAAAAGAAAAAATTTTTTTTTCAAAAAAAAAAAATCATATGTTTTCCGTAATGATAAAAAAAAATTATTGGAACAAAGAAAAGAAATAAACCTTCCAATAAGAAAGTTCATGTTTTTTTATGCAAAAGAAAAAAATTTTGTTACAACCAATATGTATTAAAATTTTTTAAAAAAATTTTCTTTTTTATGAGAAAAATTGGGGAAGGTTATCAAACCTTGATGAAATCGAAATCTTAAAAAGAAAATTTTAATGTTGAAAAAATATTTTTTCATTTCAATCTGTTAATGTAATTCGTTAAAATTGTTTATTTTTTTTTTTTGAACTTTGAGGATTTTCGTTTATTGGGGTTTGAAAAAAGGGAAATTTGGGAATTTGCCAAAAAAACTAAAAAATTTTTTGGGGTGAATAAAAAAAAAAGTTTTTTTTCAAAAATTGTTTACTGAAAATTTTTTATCAGTTAAAATTTTTACAAAATCTGGGTTAAAAAATTGTAGCTAAAAAAAATTTCTTAATTTAAAATTGGGGTTACAAAAAAAAAATTTCCCCAAATTTTAAAAAAAAATTCCCATAAAATTTCTAAAAAAAAAAATAAAAAAAAATCTTAAAACAAAAAACTTTAAACAGATTCTTCTGCAAAGCAAAAGTGTAGATATTTTAATGAAATTTAATAATTCAATATATTTTTTTTCAGTCATATTTTTTTTTATAATACAATAAATTTTTTTCATTAACTAAATAAATTGCAGTTTAAAAACTGGTTTGATAAATAATCATGAGATATATTTCACAAAAATAAATAATATTTTTGGAAAAAAAGGCAACCTGCATTAAAAAAATGTATGTGGTTGCAGTTGCGCTGTCTTAATCCACTCCTCATTCTTCTGCGTTCATTACCGCATCACGTTAAGGAGAGGATAAAATATAAGTTGCTCTCCCTTTCTGCGCATTCATTCAACGCGTTAAAAACCTCTGTTGCTTCTTATTGGTGGGTGGGTAATGCAGTGATTTACTTGGGTTGTAAGATTTGGTACTGTAGCATCTTTCTCTGCCTTAGTAATTCAGTGAAATATTTAATAAATTACGCTAGAGCTTTTGCCTCTCCATTTCGGATTTTTTCAGATTGTTTTCAATCGGTCATTTTCTCGTACTTGGAGCAATAGCATCTAATTTACTGGAGCTCGTTAAGTATTTAATTTTCGTCCGAAAAATAAAACGCAATTCTAATTTTTTTTCTGTCACCTAAAATCTCTAAATATGTAGAAGAAACATTTGTTACTTGAGCTAAGTAAATGAAGAATTAAACGATAAATAAATAATTACATATGCAAGTTTTTAATTTTGTATTTATTTGTATTGATAATACTTCAAAAACAATGAGTTGCATAATTCAAGAAAAATCCTTGTGCAAAATGTATAAAGAAATAAATTATAAATGAACGACTAATGCCACATACACTATGTTTATATTTTTTATTGGTAAAATTATGAATATTTTTAAAAGAAAAATGAAATTACATTATTTTGAATCTTGACATGCATTATATATTAAAAAATGCATACTTATTAACATAGTTCTTGTTAAACAAATAGAAGATTTGTTTTGTTATGTATATGTAAGACTTTTTCACAATTTAATCTAATTCGTCAAAATATTATATTTTCTTTTTTTGATTTAAAATAGTAATTCTTTTTTAGTTTTTAGGAACTTTATTTCATCTATAAATCCTTATTACAGTCTTGTTAATTTCTTTTTTTGTAAAATATCATCAAATAAAGTGAGATCCGTGGTTGCTACATAAGAAAAAAAAATTCAATAAATATTTTTTGCGCATGAAGTTTAATGTTGAAAAATAATGAATACTTATCACGTAAATAATTAAAACAAACTGTGTTGTAAAATCAGGCTTTTGTTTGTTTTAAGGCAAAAAAATTATAGTACAAAAAAAAGAGAAGTTTTATTTTCTCTTCATCCACTTGTTCAATAACGGGTAATTTGATCACATTTTAAAAGAAATCACTAATTCCATTACCATGTAAAAGAAAAGTTAATCAATTGTATTATTATTTTTCTCATTAAAATAAGAATTCTCGATTAATGAATAAATGCTATGCGCATAATCAGTTGGTGTCGCATTTAGATTACATTACTGCTGATAAACCCATACCTTGCGAAATCTTACCTTTTCAATGGAAGCTCTAATTTATTTACGTATCCAATCGGCTTTAATTTCAAGAAAATGCACGTTAAATATGTCAGAGAGTTTAAAGGTTCTCCCGTTGGTGTGGTGTGGAAGTAAGGAGAGGGGTTTATAAATCAGGTGTCGTCCTCGTCACTTGATCATGGTTCAAAATTGCGAGGTTCGTCGTCAAAAGCCCTCGAGTTGCTGGATAGGGTGACGTTAGTATTCTCTCACTCTGAATACTATTGCAGCTTATTTGTAACAGTTTCTGGTATCTTGAAAATTTGTTCTCTTTACACTTTATTTCAATATTCGTGGACACAATGACGTTGTCAGTATTTATAGAGAGTCCCCAGAAGTATACTATTTTTTCAAAAACCTAAGATAATACCTCGTATAAACGATTTCAAACATATTAGCATTGTATAAGTACCTTTCAAGTTCCTTCTGTAAAAAAAGGGGCGAGGTTATACGAATATACCTAAAAACTAAAAAAATGCAGCTTGAAAGTATAGGTGCGCGTTATACACCAGATTTTACTTTAAGCCATTCACCATAAACTGGATTTGACAAAAATTGTGCAAGGTTTTAATTTTTCCCACGACAAAACTGAAAAATTCCTGACTCATCGTGTGGGTGTTACTTTTCTCTTTATTGCATGCTGCTTACCCCACAGATGGATGGTGTTCCGAAAAATTTCCTCTGTCTATGAATTATCGAGTGAATTCATCGTAAATTGCCTCAGCAGGGAAGCTAAAACTTATTGCCGAGGTTGAAATCCCTAGTCCAGGAAAAAAAATAGCTACTTCATGGATTATTTAAGCCCCCGTGCCATTCCTGGAATATAAAAAGTACTGAAATCTGACGATTTCCCGGGATCCGCCTCTATATCAGTGCAATGAAGATCTTGCCGCGATAAGCATGTCTACTTGTATCCTGATGTCGGTGCCCGCGCACTTGCCATTACCAGAGTTTGTGCTTACTTCATGCTGCAATATTTCTGCGCTCTATGGTAATTTTATTTAGGATTCTCAATAGGTATCACAGTTTTTCAGGCATTTTCTTGTGTATTACATATATTGGTACCGGTGTGCAAAACTTCTGTGAAGCAACAATGTAAAAATTTAGGCAGATAGCCATGAAATGTAGAAAAGGTGGTCTGGAGATCAGTAGAGGGAACACGTAAGTCAGTGGAAACGCCGCGCGTATGCAAATATCAGGAACAAAACGTCAGAAGGATCTGGAGCGTACGCAAAACGCGTGGATTGATTTCTTGGCGCGCTGCTCAACAGTAGAATGAAATGAAGGACGGAGACGCACCACCATATTCTTCAAGGTACAGTGAGTCAGTTCGTGAAATATGGCTAGAAGAAATCACTGATTGACTTACACGTGGAAGAATGATCGGAAGCTTGGAGGAGGGGCGTACTGTCACCAGTGCGTAGCTGCAGAGTTCGGAATCAACAAAAGTGTCGTTTCGCGCGCTTGGAAAGCGTTCCAAACCATGCAGCTGTTAGAAAGCAAGGTTGGTGTGACTGCCCGAGGACGCATTAACCGCAGGGGATGACCGATATATCATCATCCTGCAGGCGAAAAAGATCGACAGAGTCGCCAGCGCCGCCGTCGCAGTCCTGCATAAGCGTGTCATTAAGTGTAGCGGTTTGATTGAGGCCAGACGCCTTCACAAAGGGGCCTGTTCGCCCACCGTCCTGGAACAACGCTGCCTCCTGCTGCTGGATGGCCACTGAAGCCACTCGTTTACAGTGGGCCAGAGGAGCACAAAAACTGGACAACTGATCAATGGAGTCGTGTCTTCTTTACGATGAGAGTCGGTTCAGTACTCAGAAGCGATTCTCAACGCGTTTTGATTTGGAGAGAGATCGGAACCCGGTTTTATCCCAGTAACACTGGCGAAAGACATCGTTACGGTAGTCCTGGAAGTTCTTGTCTGGGCTGGCATTATGCTGAACGGCGGAACTGAGCTTCCTACTCTTCGACAGAGGGTCTGTAACCGGATCGCTATTGTGAGGAGGTACTCTTCCCCATCTGCATCTTCCGAGGTGCCATTGGCCCAGACTTCATCTTTATGGATGATAATGCA